ATTTAAATGGATGACTTCAATGCTTCTAGTTTCTATTTGAAAGAATATAAACTCAATAAAAATTTAATATTTTATCATCTAAATATCATTTATCAAAAGTTATTTCTCATAGAAAAAGAAAAATAAAAGAATTAATATAACCTCAAATTAAAATTCAAATATATAATCAATAATTATAATACATTCATCTTTCAAATTAAAAAGAGATATAAATAAGAAAATATCTTTTTGTGCACTCTTATAAATAAATTAAATTATAAAAATTGATTAAAAAAAATGAAAGATTCCTAAAAATAATAAATAATGTAAAAAATCAATTATTTCTATTGTTTGATAATTCATACAAAATATAAAGAAAAGAGTATTTAATAATTCAATTCAATTAAAACTGAACCTCTTAAAAAAAAATTGATATAATTCAATACAATTAAAATATTACTACAATCAATGACATTTATAACTTTTTTCTTCTTTTTGTAATTTGTCGAATTCAGCTTGCTTTCCTTCGACTCTTTTATAATACTCTCTCATCTTTTTTCTACATTCATTAATAAATCTTCTTTTCTCAATTAGTTGTGCATTAAGCCTTCTTAATTCACAACTAATTTCATCATCCCTTCTTGTATGGATATTAATTCCATTCATTTCTTTTTGAAGAATAATTCCACAACTCTCAAGTCTTCCTCTAACAACACTCTCCTCTTCCATATCCTTTCTAAAACGTTCAGTATCTGTTTCAACTAAACCATCTATTAATTTCTCTCGAGCTGAATATTCAATCACTTGATCTCTTCTTCCTAATGGACAATTGTTTATATCTTCTCCTTCTTCTTCCATTGGTTCAAGTAATACAACATCTTCTTTACTTGGATATTTAATATATGGATAAACAATATTCTCCCAATACTCTCTTGCAGGTTCATTAGAAATACACAATATTGGTTCTGGTGCACTAACAATATTTTGTTGTTGTACAGGTGGGCGTTGTCTTGTATGGTTCTCATGGTGATGTGGTTTATAATCTTTTAAACATGAGTCATATTGAATTCTGAGATTCTCCTTCATTGATATAACAGAATCAAGCATAGCACTCAACTCCTTCTTTAATCGTTCAATATCTTCTTCTCCCCATTTATTTAAATGACATAACTATTTTGTTATTTATAACGTTATTCTTCTTGATTTTGAAGAATCCAAAAATAAATTATTTTTTTGAAATTCTTAAAAATTAATATAAAATTTATAAAAAATTAATGCAAACCGTTGAACAACTTATTTTTACAAGAACTGGCAGTTGGGGTAAATAAGACAGTGGCTGAATAGGTGTTCGTGTGCCTTGATTTCTGCTCATCTTAATACTGTAATTTTTAGGAACTTGAAATTTTGTTTTCTAACCAATAATTAAACTATTTTATATATCTTAAAAAAACTATAACTATAATATTCTTATTTTTGGTGGTAAAAGATGAATCTCTTTTTTATTTTTGAGATTTCCAAAGATCTTTATAAAAGAAGCATTAGAAGAACATGGAAGATTCATTCTTTTTCTTACAAAGAGAAAAGATAAAATCTTAGGATGTTCTTTGTTTTGTTACAAATCCTTTAAAGAATTGTGTGCTTACTTGGTTGACTCTAACAGACTTTTATAAAAGGACCATCCAAGAGACAAACTCTTCATTTTTAAATAAATCAAGTCACTATCAAATACATCTTAACAACTAGTTTCTGAAT